CATCACCACCAGACCAGCACTACCAGAAAAGTTGAAGGGTCTTCTTTAAGAAGAAGCTAATGAACAAAAGAATCTGATGAACTAAATAGATCCAGAGACACTGACAAATGCAAGAGACGATCATATTTCAGAGGAAAGAGGGAAAGGAGGTGGAGGGTGGGAAGAGATTAACCAAAGAAGTTATATGCATATATGCATAACCCATGGACACAGTCAATAACGGGGTGAAGGCCTGGGGAGGGGGTGGGAGCAAAGTGGAGGGGATCAACTGGGGGGGAAAATGGGACCCCTAATACCCTCAACAATAAAGATAAAGAAAAATAATAATAATAATTTTAAAAAATAAAATTAAAATAGTAATATGAAATTTAAAAAAAAAATGCAGTGGGTCCAAGGACTAGGACAGGCCCAGATACTTGAATGAATGCACTCTGGGGGAGACTGGCACTGACTACTGTGGGCAAAAGGCCAAATACACATAGTAGAATGGACATAAAAGAGCAAAGACACTTTGATGCATGTGAGGCAAAAGTCTAGGGATAGCAATTGGAATAAAAAAACAGTTAATGCTACACAAATAGAAAAAAGCAGTTAATGGAAAACATTTTATACATGTGTCGTGTCCGCCCTACTACTCCAAAATTTGTCTGACTACAGACATGGCAGAATTACACACATAAGCCCATCTGAGTGTCTCAGACAAACCCAGCTAAGATCCAGACCAGCAGATGCAAGGGGCAGGGAGGGGATCTTTATTCTGAATTCCCGGAGAGTATTTAGCTTCCTTCTCTGACATCTTGAACCCTGGTTACAATTTCTCCCTCCCTGGAGGAGAGCTCTCTCTAGCCCTCCTCTTGGAGAAAGGCAGCTGCCAGTCAGTTTCTGATAATCCAGTAGTTTCCTTCACAGCAGCATCGAGGCCTGTGAGGAGAGATGGTCTGGGAGGATCACTACAGATACCGCACACTCTCCCGAGATGCCCCTGTCATCACAGTGAAAACAGCTCCTCTGCTAAGTACATCAGCCAAGTTCCCAAAAAACAAGTGAGAAAGAAAATACCAACCTTATGCTACATGTCTGGGTAGAGTACCAAGGGCAAGCCTTCAGTTACCTGCCAGCCAAGGACTTCTGTCTCTCTCAGATGACTGCCCCCTTCATCTTGAGTGGCTCCTACCTCCCCCAGCTGCTGCCTGGACCCCTCCTTGCCAGGACTCCATGGCGCCCTCCCGGTCACCTCAGAGTCTGACAGCTTCTGCAGCAAAATGCAGCAGCATCTACTCACTAAGGCAGCAGTAGAGTGGCAGCAATTACAGTGTCTCCTGGGCTCTGAGCACTTAAGGTTAAGTCCCCAAAATTCCAAATGGGAAACTGCAAAGAACATGGGCAACAAACAGTTTCAAGGACAAATTCCTTGGTCCAGAACACTGCTGCAAGGGGAAAGGAGACAGACTGGCCAATTTCCCCTAGCTCTGGAGTCAGTTTCAGCTTTGCAGGTTCCCCACAACTGCTCCTCCAGAGAAAAAAGGTAAGGAAAGAAAGCCTAGGACAAGGGGAGGCTTGGGAGCCAACCCCACCAAGAGCAGAGAAGAGACTCTCATGGAGATACAGCCACAAACCAACTGGGAACCCAGCTGACTACTTGCAGTTTTCTCCACTCTCATGGGTTCTCCTCCCAGTTCCTCTGCCCAATCACAGGCTGGAGGCCCACACCACCCTACTTCTACCAGGGCTGGCATAAGATGCCAGCTACGGAAGCTAGGAAGGACCAGCTCAGCCCACAGGCTCTTAGAGCTGGTGCTAAAGAGTGGAGGCAGCGAATAGGAGAGGCCTTGATTCTCTAATCCCTTTCTGTGCTCTCTAAATGAAAGGTCAGATCAGTGTCCATTGGGCCAGAGAGCCCAGGAAGGCCTTAAAAAGGCTGGAGAGCAGTGTCCTCTGGTCAGCAGTGGTGAGATGGGAGAACAGGAGCTTCAGCAAAGTACTCCACATGTTCTAGATTTTTCAACCCATATTGCAAGGATCCCTGGGAGAGAGAGTAGTATCCTTACTTAGAGGTGAGCAAACAGGCTCAGAGACTCAGTAAGTCTTTCCAATGGAAACCTTACCTAAGACAAGGCTTCCTTTCATGGATTCACTACAAAAAGAGAGGGCCACTCTGACAAAACAAGAGCCCCAGCCTCAGTCCTGAGTCCATCTTGGCCTTCATACACTTCACCTGATGTCACCTCTCCCACCTTACCCGTCCCCCCAAACAGCCTTCAGTCTCTTGACTCTAGGATGGTCCTCCCTTAGACTCTGGTGCATGGCCCTTTGGCCCTTAGCAACCACACTGTGAGAACTTGCCTGATCTCATGCTCCCTGCACCAGAGCACATCTGCTCCTGCATCCAACATCCCCCACTACCAAGGTCAGACCCAGGACTATCTTTAGCTGCCATTAAACTCTCCTGGCCTGAGGAAAAAGCAGCTAGTTCCCTGTAAAGGAACCAGGGGAGCAAAGGCCATCATAACACCCCGTGCTCATGGTGCTGGACAGTCACCGAATCCCCTGCTGACATTTTCTAAAGGAAGTCCTGAAAGCAGTAGCCACTTTGGCTATGTGAAAAGAAGGATACCACTGTTCCTAGTACCAAATCCACACGTGTCTAGATCTGGGAAGGGAATTCTATGAAGAAATGGATGAAAAATGACTATGAAGAATAAAAGTAGTTGCCACCAGTCACATATAAAACTCTGGCTCCATGCTTCACAGTTACAATGCTGGTGAAGTGAGTGTGAGAGGGCAGAACCCCAAGATATTTTCACATTGTTCCTGGAGTTCCTGCCCCTGTTATGCATCATTCTGGACCCTTGGTTAAGAGAAAAAAAAGATTCTCAGCCCCACAATGTCTTAAAAAAACCAGAGAATGCCATAGTCCTGGAAGCTAATTGACACACACCTGCATGCACACACAGGTAGCACAGAATGTAAAGAGGTATACAGGGAGGTAAGTTCAAAAACTGTATCAAAGCTATCTATAAAAACACCACATTTAAATCTTATTGACAGAGGAAAGTGGCCATAGGAAACAACAAATGCTATACTTTGTCAGTGATGAAGGAAGTTGCGGTACTGAAGAGGAAATAAATGAGGGCCAAGTCCACTTCCCTGGCAACTATCAGCTGAGCACCTAGCTCAGCATCTTCAAGTCACTTGCCAAGCTGGTTCAGACCAGGCTTTATTCACACCTTGGCTGCTACACTCGTCTCCCAGCTCCATGTTGTAATGGACTAAGAAGAAAAACTAGTAGGTTCTACAGCAGAATGAGCAGCTGTTTCTCACCTTTTCTTCCAAAGCAAAGGGCAGAGACCCAACCTGGAGGCAGTGACATCTCCATCCAAGTTCAGCCACTCCAAAGAGCCACTGCCACCAACAGCCTCTCCAACCTGAGAACAAGGAAGAAAGCATAGCAAGGCTGCAGTCATCAACCCTCCTTACCCTCCCAAGAGAACCAGACAAAGCTCAAACTCCTCCCCCAGAAAGGAGAAGCAGGGAGGCCAACAGCCACAGAAAAAATAGCACGCTAACCTGCCTTCTCTGCCGAAGGACAGCGGCCTCTGCTGGGTGGTTGAATCGGAACGTCTGTGCTTTCCCCAGGGTTATGACTGCTCCTGTGATACAGAGACAGAGGAGAATTCAATCAACAGCTCCTGTTCTGAGTACACACTATATGCAAGGCACTGTTTTGTGAGGCAAAAGTCCTGCCCTCAACAAGTGGATAAGTTAGCTGAGTCAATAATATATGTATTCATTGGATACTGTACAGCATATGTATCAAACTAATGAAATGAACAGGTAGAGTCTGGTACTCCAAGGGGAAGCAAGATGAGTTCCAGGTGGAGTAGTCAGGGAATACTTCATGGAAGAGGGGGAATATAAGCTCAGCCTCAAAGGACAGAGATTTTAAACAGATTCATAATAGGAGGGCGGGTGGGTGGAGGGGGAGAATTTATATGCACAACCCAAGGACACGGACAATGGTGGGGAGAGGGACTGGAGAGAGGGATGGGACGGGGTGGAATGGGTCATTGGGGAGAAAAAGGGACATCTGTAATATTTTAAACAAAAATAAAATTAAAAAATAAATAAAGTTAAAAACAAAAACCAAAAAAACCCAGATTCATAATAGTAGTAATTGTGACAGTAATAATGATAATGAGCATTTACTAAGTGCCAAGAACACTGTTAAGAACATTACATGGATTAGCTCATTCAAGCCTCACATTTCCTGCCATTCAATCCTCTTATTATCCCCATTTTACAGATGAGAAAATTGAGGCTCAGATAATTCCCCAAGGACACAGAGTTAACAAACACAGGACAAATTTCAGAGTTATTCTCCATTCTGGGGCCCAGGAATTAGGGCTTCTTCATGTATGGGAAGAAGACTGTATTAGGAAATATTCAGATCTCTGGGTGCAGAAACTGCTTTACTGAGTTCTCTGGGTCTGGCCCATGGGAATGGAGCTGGTCCATCAGTCATCCTAGCATACACAGGGCGGTAGACAGTCCTACCTTGGGTCAGGCGGCAGGAGGCAGTGACCTCCCGGCCATTGACTATGCAGCGGGCCCCCTGGGCAGGCCGCAGAATGACGACCCCACAGGCGCTGGTGATCGTGCAGTGGTCTCTCTCTATCCACTGACCCTGCAGGACTACAGAGAAGAGATGGAGGTCACCTGGGCAGAGGCATGGCCCAGGGAAACACCCCCTCCATTCTTCCCATGAGATCCGACTCCACATCTGGAAGATCTCGTATCCCAAGATGGGAAGAGCCACCACCTGAAACCTCCCAGACCTGGATCCTCCTACATGTGGGTCCCCCTCCTACCATGTCCCAGACACACAGCTGCAGCCCGACAACCTAGCAGCAAAAAGAGAAGCCCCTTAGGACTTCAAAGATCCTTTCCTCTTAGAGCACCATCAGGTTCCTCTGCAGAAAGCTGTCAGGCATGAGTATCTGCCACAAAGTGTCAGACCATATGCCCTGTCACTTACCAATATCCTGTTCCTGTTCTGAGTCAATCCTTCCTATTTTTGTTGTCCCTTCCTAAAGGGAAAAACAAAGTCATCTAAATGAAAATAAAAAGGGACACAGCCCTGTCCCCAAAGAGGAGTCCACCTGTTTGAGTGTTATCACTGTCTTCCCACACCTAGCTTTTTCTACACCACTCCTCTCAACTTTGGTCCAGGCTGTTCTGACTGCTCTGTCCACTCACTCTGCAGCCAGGAAGACACTGAGAAGGTGGGGGCAAAAAATATCTGACAAAGCAGCACCAGATCTTTGCAAAGTCGAACAAGTATAGCCTGAGGTTAGGGAATAGCCATGGCCGTCAGTCAGAGATTCTTTAGTCTGAGGAAGTGGGCACACAGGTGTAGCTTTCTCTCAGGGGCTAAGGTTCGTGTGTTCCAAGTTCGGTCCAGTCAGTCTCAGACACACGTGTTCTATGAAGGTGTATGGAAGCACAGGATTTTTACCTTCTTGGTCCGCAGATGAAGTTTAACAGACACCAGATTGTAAGAAGGGTAAAGCACGAATAGGAGAAAAGCACATCTAGAATCAAAAAGGACTGGAAGAGAGTATAAGAGAGGAGGGGAAATGGGAGTTAGTATAAATGAATCACAAGGTTAGTAGAAGACAAGGCCTTTTGGCCTTTGATCATGGCAATTCAGACAACATAGCTCTGTTTGAGGAAGGCAGCAACACGGCAACAGAGATGTTGAGTTTAGATGTATATTTATCATTCATTGATTCACTATTTCCTAGGCACTGCACTGAGTGCTTTATAGACATCTCTTATTTAACCCTTTAACAACCAAAATGTAGGTATTATTATCCCCCTTTTATAGACATGGGATTGAAGCTAATAGGGAATAAGTTGCCCAAGGAACCCACAAACTAAACAGGAGAGCTCTGGCTAGAATTCCATGCTTTTCCAACCTCAGCATACCACCTCCCTAGTAACCAAGGTTTTCAAAGTGACCAGAGTGTGTCATACTAGGCTTCACAGTTAGCAGCCAGAGGGGTGGTCCCTGCAGTTCCCCCAAAATAGCTTGTGAGGAGGAAGATTCCTAGAAGTGATGAATGAGGCTCTGTGCCCCCCTCCACACGCACACCCACAAACAGCCAGAGCCCAGCCTTTTCTGCTCAGCCACTGAGGATCACACAAGCCAATGGAGACTGGCCTCCAAACACTGCCAAACAGAATCAAGGGAAAGAGGTCAAGACCCCTCATGTGGGTTCAGGGTCATCCTTGATGATGAGGCACATTCCTCCCCAAAGGAAAAAGGCCACAGCATATCACAACTTCTAGACTTGCAGGGCAGAAACAACCAAAAAATGTGATGGCATCGGTTTAACAAGGACTGAACTGGAACCTGTGCATGCTGCCCCTCTGCCTCTTTACGTGGGGAAAGTTAGCAGCACAAAGGCACTTATGAGGATGAATTCTAGGATATCAGTAACCTGTGCTCTATGCATCCTTTCCCCTGGCCCCCTTCCCGCCCAAGGTTCCTCCCAAGCTTTCAGGGCGTTTCTAGTGACTAGTTCTGGATCTGTAAACAAGCCAGCAAAGCAAAAAACAAACAAAACAGAATCTGAGTGATTACTGTTATACTACTACCCAAACCAATGGGTAAACAAATGGAAACAATGTGTAAACAAATGGAAAGGAAACAATGGGTACATAAAATGCAGAAATGCCAGTATTACCACTAACTGGACCCCATCCCCCAGGTTCACTGGAAATGAACCCAGCAGGGAGTGCCACCCTGGGTGTGCACTGGCTCAGAGAGGAAAACCAGCATCTCTGCATTCAGAGGGGGCCGGTCACATCCTTTCACCCTCTACTGCTACTCCAAGCCCTGCCGCTTAACTTCTAGCTTCATCTGCTCATTCCACATGCAATCAATATATCAGATCAGCTCTACTCAAATACTGACCATTTTAAAACACCCCGTCCCTTCCAACCTCTCCCTGTGGTTCCATAGTCTTTAGATTCTGCCTGAGGCATTTTCACTGAGATAATTTATACTCTGTGTATCAGAAAATAAGCTACTTTAACTTTCTGTCTGAGAGGCTCAGTCTCTGACAACTCCTTCAAGGTTTAAGAGACTTTCTGAACATGATGAGCTTTGCTAACATCTCACTACCACATGTACTGCAGCATTAGGAGTCTAATTTCTCCAGGGATAATAGCAGCATTACATGTGCCCCATAAACTCTCTTCCTTTACAATGTCAGCTGGGGACAATTATAAGAATGAAGATTGGATTTTCAGTGAGCATAGGGATTTGGGCCAGGAAAAGTATATTTTGCCTTCCACAGAGACTGTCCCTCTACAGCAGGACATTTTTGATGAGGGCAGGATATAAGACTCTATCTACCATGAGTCACTAATTCTAACTGCTTCATTTATAAATGAGGATCTGGCCTCCAGGTGACAAAGAACCGGGTGAGCCAGGTCCTTCATGAAAGGCCTTAATTTTTTTTCCTCTGGGTGGCTGCATGTCATGCCCCCACGGCCCCACCCC